ATAATGTAGCAGGTAAGTTAACAATAGTACCTCTGTAGCATCAAAACAAATTAGCCAGTAATGGAGCAGTGGTCAACATACAATTCTGAACTGCTTTTTGGTTCTCTTCTTTCCCCTCATCATGTTCCTAAGATTCATATCAGTGCATATGGATTTGGAAAATTCAAATGAACGAGATTCACATTAAATGCAAGCCTTGAATTTTTTTTCTCTTTCTTCCAACTTATCCTTCCTTATTCCTTAAGCAAGTTATTTTGAACTTTTCAATGTTTAAATCAGTCTCTGTCTTTTCTTTTTCATGGGTTGGACTGAAGGAAAATCATTGTCTGAAAATTATAGCAAACAAATGAATTCCATTTTTTTCTCCTTATCCAAAATTTCTAGTGCATTTGTAATATTCCAAGTAAAAAGATAGTAGCATTTGCTAAAAAAAAAAGAATGTTCATTTTCTAGCTGAACCCTGAAACTGCATTTACCACTAAGCAATAACAACATCCGAAACTAGGCAGAAATAGAATTAACCAATATTTCCATTTTCCACACCTGCTGATCAAGCTGATCTACTCATCATTTTTAATTTTATGCTACTGTTTATATTGATTTCTTCCTGCTTACGATTGCTATGAAAAAAAATCTATGGGTAGCTCTGAATTAATATATGTTATGCCTACGATAATAAGTGATGCTGAGATCCTATAGAAGAAAAATAATTTGAGAATCTGAACTATATCAAAGACCATGATTAAGATAGTGAAGGGATTTATTTGACACATAACCCGCCTTTTCTCCAGGACCACAAAACAGCTTACATGGAGATCCTCCTTTGTTGTATCTCAGCAATCCTGTCAAGTAAGCTGTCCCAAGAGAATGGGTAGATCCACAGACATATAGGGAGTTCTGTAATTCTAGTCCAACACTGTAAGTAACATATAATACTAGAAATATTTATTAAATGGAAATATTCTAAGACTGAAATGAAAGAACATATTGAAAAGTGGAAGAAATGTTAATGGAGCTCCTGCTACTGTTTGGATACCTGGAGCTATTGGTCACTCCTATCCTTACAAATACAAATCATTTTATATTTCAGTCAGGGAATTTCCAGTTCACAACTTAGAGGAAATGGTTGTGAATCAATACTCTAGATTTTGAAAGCAGCCATAAAAGTCAAGATCTATAGAACAGATGAAAGAAAGAGAAGAAGGATAGCATACGAGCATACTTGCTTTCTTCTAAACTCTACAAATTGATGGCATAAAATACAGTCCTGTTGACAAACGATTCAATATCAATGTCTTAGAGTTTGAAACTATCAAACTCAGTCTAATATTATCACATTGGATCTCTTCTTAAAGTTTATCTTCAGCTGTAAAATCATGAGCAACTCACCTCCTTACACATACAGTATGTACCTTTTGGTTTGTTTACTCAAGAAAACATGAAATATGCTTTTGAAGTAAAGGTGGGGGTCAAATCCTGCATCACAAGGCAAAAATGCCTCTGGTGCATTTCAGAAATGAGGAACTAGGCTGGTATATTTCAGTAATTCCTGCAAGTAAACAGATTTTGAAAATATCATCTATAACATTGAACAGTAATCTAATAATGATAGGATGTAATTTAATATTCTGCCAGGATTTTTTTTATAATTCCCCTTTGATTTACCTAGCCCAGGAAGCCTATTCTGTAAATTGTATTGTTTATTTTATAAGTGGTTACATATTTATACTATGTTGACTTTACACATTTAATGAATTTTCCTTGGCTTTCCTTTAGAGATAGTGTAATTGGTTGGAGTATTAAAGGAAATGTACTGTGTGGGACCCCTGAGAGAAAGCAACTGCCTTCTTCAGACAGCTAGAGAACAGGCAATGTGCAAAGAATCAAGCTGACACAACAGATAAAAGAATTTGTTTGATGAAATAGCAGATATACATGTAGATAACTGGAAATAGCAGATGTAAAGATGTGAGTGGGTTGGGGTGGTCCAGGTTAATATAATAATTTCCCATTTTTCAGCAACTTTTAAGTGGGAGTGCTACTTTTTTTTTTTACTAAAAGGGGAACTGCATGCTTTGAGGAAGATATTATACAACTGTTATTAATTAACAATCTGCTCGCTTTCCCCTCTGTATTATCTTGTTCAGCATATACAATCCTGTGAGCCATCCAGAGTCACTTAGTAATCACAATAACATTTAGACTTATATAATGCTTCACAGTGCTTTATAGCCCTCTCTAAGCAGTTTACAGAGTCAGCATATTCCCCCCAGCAATCTGGGTCCTCATTTTACTGACCTCAGAAAGATCGAAGGCTAAATCAACCTTGACAGAATCAAACTGCTGGCAGTCGGCAGAAATAGCCTGTAATACTGCATTCTAACCACTGTGCCACCACAGCTCTTAGATAATACGGGTAGCTATACAAATTGAATTAATAATAATAATTAATAATCCCAGGCACTATTTTGATATGGTTGTGGGGCTTGTGTGCACTCTGAAGATGATGAGTCTTGTCAGAGGACCTAGAGCAGCGGTCCTCAACCTGTGGGTCGCGACCCCATTTGGGGTCGATCGACCATTTCACGGGGGTCACCAAACAACGCGATCCGCCATTTTTTTTCTTCAGCCGGTGCAGGGGGTGGCGCCGCTCATGCGCGCCATGCAGGAGGCGGCGCATGGGCCGGTGCCGCGCATGCACGACATGCAGGGGGCGACGCGCGCAGGGGGCGGCACCGCGCAGGGGCCAGCACCACGCATGTGCACCGCGCATGGGGCGGCACATGGGGTGGCGCCACGCATGCGCACCTCGCAGGGGGCAGCCTGCACATGCGCGCCACGTAGGGGGTGTCGCATGGGGGCGCCGCCGCACATGCACACCGCGCAGGGGGTGCCGCCGCGCATGCGTGCCACGCAGGGGGCGGTGCCACACATGCGTGCCACGCAGGGGGCGGTGCCACGCATGCGTGCCGCACAGGGCGGTGCCGCGCATGCGCGCCGCCTCCTTATGACCAGGGTCGCCGGTATAAAAAGATTGAGAACACTGACCTAGAGAAAGAGTATCTCTCCCATAAACAATATAGTGAGACATAATTTACACAAACTCATACTGGATTGGTCACTGTCCAGGTTAAAGACCATGCTAGATGTTAGATTTTATTCAACATCTAGTGACAAGTAGGCTATAGAACTCGGAATTGTTGGCTAATCGATTCGGCCCAGCAGCTGCAGGATAAATGGATTAATGTTTATTTGTTGCAAATATAGAAAGATTGAAAATAAAAAATGAGCTGTTATTACAAATCAAGTCCAACAAGAAGAAGATATCTGAAAAAAATGCACCAGTTCTGGAAAGAACTACATCCAGAATCAGAAATAACAGAACAGGGGCTAACAGATCAACATCAATTTATAATATGAAATAAAGTATTCACAGAAGCAGAATTGGAAGAGGCAAAGGTCTACCAGGCAAAGAAATTGAAGCCTTGCCAGAAGTAGCTCAGACTATAAAGGCAAACCTGAGGGAGTCAGCAGTAGAGAAAGACAACATAGTTATTGAATCTTCTTTAATCTCAAATCAGAAAGAACAAATAATAAAATTTAATAAATTTTAAGAATTGAAACAAAGAACAACTGAGCATCTAGAACAGCACAAAATCATTGGAATAAGGTTGCCTGCATTGAATCTTGTTCCTTTTATTTAAAAAAAAAATAAAAACTGTTAAACAAGTAGATAAAAACTAAAAAAAAATTAATAGGTAGTAAGCAAGGAAAAAATAAATCAAATGAAAAGCAAAAAGTGTGAGAAAGAAAACAAAGTTAAAAAAATAGAAAATGAAGTGGCTTTTCATATTCATCATAAAAGTCATAAGTACAAATATATTTTAACTTCTCTCTCTAAAGTTGCATCATATTATTCTTCTTTCAATAATCTATCCCAGTGATGGTGAACCTTTTAGAGACCGAGTGCCCAAACCACCCCCCACCCTTGTCCCCACTCCGCCGTGCCCGCTGGACCACCCACCACCTCCATGTCCCACCACAGATCACCCAGGCAGCCTAGCAGCTCCGTGGTGGCCACGCCCTTCACCCGCACCCTGCAGCATCATCTGCATGTGATGGAGTGCAAGGGCGGAGTCTTGTCCCCACTGCCCAGCTACCATATCCTTGGCTGCACAACACTGCATGGGCCGTGCCCGGGGGCGACTCTCCTCCGGAGGGCTGCTGGTGAGGAGGGGGCCATGGGAGGAGGTGGGGCTGGGGCAACGGTGCGTGTGCCCACAGAGAGGGCTCCAAGTGCCACCTCTGGCATGCATGCCATAGGTTCGCCACCACTGATCTATCCTGTCAAATCACCAAAATCATGACATAAGTTCCCTTTTTTCATTTTTACACAAAAAAGTCCATAAGATGCTTCTAGGCTGGTTCTCTCTTTGATTAGTTTTTATCCATTGCTTCTTGTCTTGCCTTCAGATGCTTTGAAGAATAGTTGACCCTCTTTTCTTAGTGGCAGCCCCTTAGATATTGGAACACTTAAGATGCAGTCCAACAGCATTTAGGTGAAAGCAAGCTTTTTCCACTTGAACAAAAGGGATGGTGCCCAAACAGCAGAGGAACAAAAAAAATCAGCTCGTAATTGACATGATTCTGGAAAACTCAAGAGAAAGAAGACCAACTTGAATGTAGCGCCCACCCCAACTCCAGCAATGCAAAAAAAAGTCACAATACGTCACGACACGTCATGTGATGCAGCGAGTTTGAAATCCATGGCTTAACTCTTCCTTTACAGTTGGCCACTTAAGTTTAATGAAAGAAGGTGCCCTATAAATGAAACAGGGATATTTTTCATTTTCATTTCACTGAAAATGATGCTTTAAAACCTCCTACTCTTTCAAATAGCCTGTAAAGGTATTGTTTGTGTTCATAGCTGCTGTTTGTTTCTCTTTTTTTCAAAACATTCAAAGCAAAATTGGATCATTTATTTACTTTTGTGGTTTCAGGTCAAATATGGAAATTACGCCTTTGTTTGGGATGCAGCAGTTTTGGAATATGTTGCTCTGAATGACCCAGATTGTTCCTTCTACACTGTTGGAAATACTATTGCAGATCGAGGATATGGAATAGCTCTTCAACATGGAAGCCCCTACAGAGATGTCTTCTCACAAAGGTAATGTTGTTAGAAGAATACCAAGGTTGTCTAAGACTTTTGGTTTTGTTTGTGCCAGAAAATATATCACCTTGTACCTGAATGGATTAGAGCATAATTACGATGCTCCATAATAACAATAAAGCTGAAGATGGTTTATATTGTAGTTGACTATAAAGTAATTCAACATAATTGCACTGATTTTGATAGGGGGTAAGACTGTGAATCATCAATTTTTTGCTGGAATTAAAAAAAACATGTTTGAATGTGGTCAGAAGACAATGATAAAGAGCTAGAACACATAGCATATGAACAGCTGTATCAGTAGAGACGATTATGACAGGGGTTCTTAGTCTTCTTCTGTGATCCATGGACCTTGGGGGACAGCAATGTCATCACATGGAGTCTGCAGGCTTGAAGAAATGTTATGATTTAAATCAAATCTTGGGGTCTGTGACCATTGTCCACAGCCACAAAAGGTATTTAAAGAGAATCTGTGGTGAAGAAAAAGTTGAGAACCACTAGATTATCAGGTTAGATTAAAAAAGAGGCAGAGTTTTGATTGCGCCATCATGAATGTGTCACCTTTACTTTTTGGACCATACCCTACAAATACTGAAGCTCTTACAGGTGCTCAAATATTTTGACTAGTTGGCTTATAATTTCTGGCATGAACATAGGAAACTTGAAACATAGATCTTGCCTTATCCAGATCTTAATATTGTAACTGTATTTTACTAACTTTGAGAAACCTTGTCTTGTCAAAGATCAAGTGGATATCAGCAAGGGCTAACCTGATCAGAAAGAAAGTATCAAGTGACTATCCCAGTTTTATTTAAAACAGTGATTCAAAATTGTAAAGTCATGTAAATGTGCTTTCTGGAAAAGAGAAAGAAAAAAGCTCTATCAAGGACCAATGTTTATACAGGATGGCTGCAAAAGAGATACATATAGATTGTGAATATAGGTCTCTATAGGATAAAGGTTTCTGTGAATAAAAATATTTACCATGTATTGGCAGTATATGTGAATGGGCAAAGGATAATAATAATAATAATAATGATGATGATGATGATGATGATGATGATGATGATGATGATGATGATGTTGGACGTGGCAGTGCCTGGAGATAGCAGAATAGAAGAGAAAGAACTGGAGAAGATAACAAAATACAAAGACCTGCAAATAGAAATAGAAAGACTGTGGCAAAAGCAAGCAAGGGTAGTACCAATAGTAATAGGCTCCTTGGGTGCAATCCCAAAACAACTGGAACACCACTTGAACACCATTGGCATTGACAAATTCGCTATTAGTCAATTGCAAAAGGCGGCCTTATTAGGAACTGCTTCCATCCTGCGACGATACCTGTAATACCATCAAACATCCACATCTGCCTATCCCAGGTCCTGGGTAAGGACTCGATAGGTAGACAAAATGCCAAATCCAGTCTGAACATCTGGCTGACTGTGCGATGATCAATAATAATAATAATAATGTTGGAAGGGACATTAGAGGTCATCTAGTCCAACCCCCTGCTCAGGCAGGAAACCCTATACCAGGGGTAGGCAACCCAAAACACTCAAAGAGCCACTTGGACCCATTTCCCACCAAAAAACAAAACACCGGGAGCCGCAAAACCCTTTTGACATCTAAAATGAAGATAACACTGCATATATCCTTTTCTACCTTTATTATAGGTTTGTGTGTGTGTGTGTGTGTGTTTTGTGTGTGTGTATATATATGTATGTATGTATATATATGTGTGTGTGCGTGTGTGTGTGTATACAAACACACACACACACACACACACACACACACAGGTAAAAAAAGGATATATGCAGTGTTATCTTCATTTTAGATGTCAAAAGGGTCTCTATCTCTCTGTCTCTCTCTCTCCCTCCCTCTCTGCCCTTGGTCTGCCACTCCTCTTCCCCCACTCTCTTTCTTTCTCTCTCTCTCTTTCCTCTCTCTCTCTCCCTCCCTCCCTCTCTCTCTCTTCCCCCCCCCCTCTCCTATCTGTTGCTCACCTGGCAAGCTTCAAGCTGTTGTCCACAAGCTCAGGAGTAGGCAACCTCGTCTCTTTTATGACTCATGGACTTCAACTCCCAGAATTCCTGAGTCAACCTAGCTGGGCTAGCTAGCTCTCTCCTGCCCTTCCTGCTTCCTGCTTCCTGCAGAGACGCAGCAAAGGGAGGAGCTCCGCCCAGTAAGCTTTTCAGCTCCTCGGAGAACATTGTGAGTACACTCTCTTTTACGCACACACACACACACAAACACACACAGAGAGAGAGAGAGAGAGAGAGAGAGAGAGAGAGAGAGAGAGAGAGAGAGAGAGAAGCAGGGAAGCGCAATTGCCTCTCTCTGTCTCTGTCTCTCTCTGCAAATGGCAGAGGAGGCTGGGAGCCACAAGGGAAGGCTCAAAGAGCCGCATGCGGCTCCGGAGCCGCAGGTTGCCGACCTGTGCCCTATACCATTTCAGACAAATGGCTGTCCAGTCTCTTCTTAAAAACTTCCAGTGTTGGAGCATTCACCGCTTCTGGAGGCAGGTTGTTCCACTGGTTAATTGTTCTAACTGTCAGTAAGTTTCTCCTTAGTTCTAGGCTGCTTCTCTCCTTGATTAGTTTCCATCTATTGTTTCTTGTCCTGCCTTCAGGCGCCTTGGAAAATAGCTTGACTCCCTCTTCTTTGTGGCAGCCCCTGAGATATTGGAACACTGCTATCATGTTCCCCCTCGCCCTTCTCTTCATTAAACTAGACATACCCAATTCCAGCAACCTTTCCTTATATGCTTTAGCCTCCAGTCCCCTAATCATCTTTGTTGCTTTTCTCTGTACTCTTTCTAGAGTCTCAACATCTTTTTTACATCGTGGTGACCAAAACTGGATGCAGTATTCCAAGTGTGGCCTTACCAAGGCATTGTAAAGTAATACTTCACGTGATCTTGATTCTATCCCTCTGTTAATGCAGCCCAACATTGTGTTGGCCTTTTTGGCAGCTGCAGCACACTGCTGGCTCATATTTAAGTGATTGTCCACTAGGACTACAAGGTCCCTCTCACAGTTACTACTATTGAGCAAGGTACCCCCTATACTATACCTGTACATTTGATTTTTCTTGCCTAAATGTAGAACCTTACTTTTTTCACTATTGAATTTAATTTTGTTAGATAGCGCCCAGTGTTCAAGCCTTTCCAGATCCTTCTGTATCCTAAGCCTGTCTTCTGGAGTGTTGGCTATTCCTGCCAGCTTGGTGTTGTCTAAAAATTTGATGGTTTTCCCATCTATCTCCTCGTCCAAATCGTTGATGAAGATGTTGAAGAGCACTGGACCCAGAACAGAGCCCTGGGGCACCCCACTACACACTTCCCTCTGTGTAGATGCGGTTCCATTGAAGACCACATGCTGAGTACAGCTGGTCACCAGCTACGGATCCATCTGGTGGTGATGCTGTCTAACCTGCATTTTTCTATCTTATCAAGTAGTAGGTTGTGATCTACTTTATCAAATGCCTTACTGAAGTCCAAGTAAATTATATCCACAGCATTCCTCTGATCCACTAATTTTGTCACTTGGTCAAAGAATGCAATAAGATTTGTCTGGCATGATCTGTTTTTGACAAACACATGTTGGTTTTTAGTAATGACTTTGTTTGCCTCTAGGTGTTCGCTGATTCATTGTTTGATTATCTTTTCCAGGATCTTCCCAGGTATTGAGGTCAGGCTGATAGGTCTGTAATTTCCTGGGTCCATTTTTTTCCTTTTTTGAAGATGGGAACTACATCAGCTCTTTTCTAGTCCTCCGATAGTTCCCCAGTGCTCCAGGATCTTTGAAAAATATAGTTCAATGGTTCTGAGATCACATCTGCCAGTTCCTTGAGAATCCTGGGGTATAATCCATCTGGTCCTGGCGATTTGAACTCATCTAGGCTGGACAGATGCTCACTTACCGTTTTCTTGCCTATCTTAACTTGTGTTTCTATTCTGTTTTTTATGGCACTATTTTTGGTAGGTTGGTCTGTTTTTTCCCTTTGTGTAAAGACAGATGCAAAAAATGAATTAAATAGTTCTGCTTTCTCCCTGTTGCTTGTCACCTTCTTGCCACTTTCCCCCACTACTGGACCAATCATTTCCTTCACTTTTTTCTTGTTTTTTACATGTTGAAAGAAGCTTTTTTTGTTATTTTTGACTTTGGTCACAAGCCTTAGTTCATTTTGAGCCTTAGCTTTCCTCACTTCATATTTGCAAGCTTGGGCTATTTGCTGATATTCTGACTTATTTATGTGCCCCTCTTTCCACTTTCTATACTTGTCCTTTTTATCTTTCAATTTATCAGAGAGTTCTTTATGCAGCCATGCTGGTTTCTTTTGAGAACTGTTATTTTTCCTCTTTGTTGGTATTGTGCTGGACTGGGCTTTTATTATCTCCCTTTTCAAAATTTCCCAAGCTTCTTGAGTTGTTTTCTCCTTGAGGATTCTCATCCATGAAATCCTTCCCAAGCCCTCTCTAAGTTTATTGAAATTAGCTCTCTTAAAGTCCAAGACTCTAGTCTGACTATATTTTATTGCTTGTGCTTCCATAATGTTGAATTCCAATATTGCATGATCACTTCCTCCCAAGGTTCCTGTGGCTTCAACACCTTCTATCATTTCATCTCTGTTAATTTATTACTTCTCTGCAATCTGGAAAAGGAATTTATATAGTTGAATAAATTGAATTTACAGATCTTGCTTTAGCATATGTAGTTGATATTGTGCTGTTGAAATAGTTAGTGCTATTGTTCTATCACTGGAAGCCAGTACCTCTATAACATGGAGGATAATAATAAAGGTGGCATCATGTTTGTAGCTAATTTTTGGCAGTACTGGAAAAATATGTAAGAGACCAATTTCTAGTGGGTTTGGATTGCAGGGTTGATCTGTGGAATTAGTACATTAGTCAGATTCTACAGTAAAGTGACATATATAACAGAAGCCTATAATCTGGTGCGAACCAGCTGAATCCCACCACTGACTAAACCTGAACA